AAGTCTAGTTGTGCTGTCTGTCTGTCTGTACTAACTAGTTTGTTTTTCTTTCTTTTATTTTATTTGGTCTATTTGTTTGTCTGTTTTTCTTAGAACCTGTCAGCCAGATAAGTTCATTATTAAAATATTGGTCAAAATGTTGATAAATTTAAGCTAAGACATAACATTGTTATAAGGTCATGATATTTCTTTAATGGGACATTTTATGGCTGTTTTATATTTGCATATGCTATATTTGAACTGATTATTAAATGTACTGGTATTCCTTGTTCAATTTTAGACAATAGCACTAGAGGGTAAAGTTACTAAGATTCTTATTGGATTTTGTGTAAACTTCTGTAAAATGTAACTTTAGCCAGCTTAAACTTAGAAAACCTACATGCCTATATAAAAACGGGACTCTATTTGCCAATTAAATGACATTAGGTCGGCAACCGTTCTTAAAGACTTGGAGGACAGGTTTCACTGGGATAGACTGGTTCTGATCCCCGTCTACATGCTAGAAGGAATATTGGACCTGATCTGTTTCAGTTTCCTTGCTTTGACTTTACCCTAATTTTCCTATCTCTTTGCACTTTCCTTTTCTTAAAGGCATGTAAAAATTAAAAACCCTGATTGTTCCAGCTAAGTAAAGCCCTTAGAAAATGAGCATTTGTTAATGCTGAAGACAGGAAATTCATTCTAGAAAAGGACACATACCCTGTCTCTGGGTCGGATGAGACAAAGAGATTATGCCCGTTCAGGAGGACTCACACAAAAGCCATGTCCCGGCTTAGTGTTCTGGGCACGTCTCCTTTGGGAGGCTGAACCTGAGACACAGTGGAGAGAACCAATTTCTGGGTGACACCAGAAGGAGCTATCTCCAAAAGCAGCACACTTATGGGACCAAAACATTTCAGTGTAAAAATTCGACCTTTATCTCCTGAGTTTCATTTAATGGGATAAGAAACATAAGGCATTTATTATAAAATGCTTAAATAATCTTGTTCGGGCTTTTAAGATATTTCCTATAAAATTGGGATAAGCAGTGTGTACGCCTAGGCTTTGTCTGGATTCTTAATGCAACTTTTGGATTGACAGATTTTCAGACTCTCGAACCGCCGCCACGTCATAAGTTGAGTTTTCCAGTCCAGTGTCCTTTTCGTTCGCAGTCTTTGTTGGATCTTGTCACGTGTTTGGTCCTGTGAAGATGGGACAATCTGCTTCATCATCCTCCCCCTTGTCTCTTATCCTGAATCATTTTTCCACCTTCCAAGATTGAGCAAAGGGATATGGAGCCTCAGTTTACCCAGGAAACCTCCGCACTCTTTGTGAATTAGAGTGGCCGATCTCATCAGGGGGCCTCTGGCCCTCCGAGGGATCTTTTGACCTCCCTTTGGCCCAGGCTGTTCAACGGGTCATTTTAGACAAGCCCGGACATCCGACCAGGTCATCTACATTCAGGTCTGGATTGATTGGATTTATGATCCCCCATCGTGGCTCAGGAAGTTGCTTCAGAAGCCCTCTGTCCTTGCTCCCTTAAAACCTTCTCATTCCCCCAAAAATCCCCAAGTCCTAGAATCCCCGCCTCAGGACGACCTTCCTCCTCCCTATCGGACCCCCCTTCCTCCTCAGGCCCCACCCCAACCCCCTTCACCTCCTCTCCCACATCAGGCTCCTTCTCCTCCACCTCCCTCCCAGCCCTAAGCTATCTCGGCACCTCCTAGTCCACGCTGTACCCGGATCCACCGACACCCATGGCCGGATTCATCCACTCCCTCTCCTCACCCCCTTCCCTTATACCTTCTCCAAGAAAACTTTTTGGGGCCAGATCAAGCCCCCATGATGATGTATGTCCCCTTTACCACTTCTGATTTATATAACTGGAAAAATCAGAACCCACCCTTTTCCAAAGACCCACAAGGCCTCATTAGCCTTTTGGAACATATCTGTTATACCCATTGCCCCACCTGGGACGATTGTCAACAACTCCTTCAGACCCTTTTTACTGCAGAAGAAAGACCGCATCTGCGGAGCAACCCATCGGGCTGTCATGGGCCCAGATGGAAATCCCACCTCTGATCCTGACCGCCAAGAAGCCATCTTCTCTTTGCGGCGCCCAGACTGCGATCTGAATACTAATAGAGGTAAGGAGGCTCTTGACAGGTATTGCCAGCTTCTTCTGGGAGCCCTTAAGGCAGCAGCCTGGAAGCCCACCAACCTATCCAAGGTATCAGAGGTAAGACAATTGGCTACTGAGTCCCCTGCTGCTTATTTGGAAAGACTCCTAAAAGCCTACCATATCTATACTCCAATAGATCCGGAGGCACCCGAAAATGCACGAGCCATAAATATTGTGTTCGTGACACAGTCGGCCCCTGACATAAAATGAAAATTGCAGAAAGTAGAGGGTTTTGAGGGAACACCCCTTAGTCAGCTCACGGAGATAGCTCAGAAGGTTTTTGATCAGTGTGAATCCAAGGAAGATAAAAATGAAAAGAGACTTACCAAGATTCTTGAATGTCTGGCCACCGGGAATTGGCCAACCAATAAAAGGGAAAAACGACTTTCTCTTGAAAAAGATCAATAAAGGTCATAGGGGCCACCGGACAAACTAAAATAGTAAAATAGCTTAGGGCGTCCCTGGGGTAACCTGGACAGCCCCTAATGAGCCACACCTTTCTTTGGGCGCCCAACTGTCCAGACCCACTCCTGTGTAGAGATCTTCTACACAAATTAAAAGTACAATTGAGTTTTGTGACCGAAACACCTACTGTAACTATTGAGAATCCAATCATTAAGGTGATGGCCCAGTTCCCGGTAGGAGAAAGCCACATCTTATTTCAAGAAGTTTTAGGACCTGAGGAACAAAGATTTGATTTGATAGAAAGAGATGAATTGTTATACATTTGGACTCAACAAATCCCAGAAGTATGGGCAGAATATAACCCCCCTGGGTTAGCCAAAAATCAAGCTCCCTTGGTGATAGCCACCCCGATTAAGTTGAAATAATACCCAATTAGCCTGGCAGCCCAAGGGAATTGCCACCCACATCTTGTGATTCAAACAACAGGGCATTTTAAAATCATGTATTTCTCCTTGGAATACCCACTTGCTTCCAGTACAAAAACCAGGGACCCAGGATTACCGACCGGTCCAAGACTTAGGAGAGGTAAACAAAAGGGTGGTCACCTTACATCCAATGGTGCCCAATCCCTACACCCTCCTGAGCCTTCTGCTGCCTCATCACATCTAGTACACGGTATTGGACTTAAAAGATGCCTTATTCACCTTACTGACCACCCCAGTGAGTGAACCCTTATTTGCCTTTGAATGGACAGACCCCTTTTTGGGAGTCTTGGAACAACTGACTTGGACTCGACTTCCCCAAGGTTTCAAAAATGCCCCCACACTCTTTGATGAGGCTTTGTCCCGAGACCTCCTCCCCTTTCGGGAGGATCATCCATGACTGACGTTGCTCCAATACGTTGATGACCTTCTATTGGCTACGGAGAAATATGAGTCCTGTGTCTCGGGCACCCAAGCCTTACTGAAAACTCTCTCAGATCTTAGATACCGGGTTTCAGCCAAAAAAGCCCAACTGTGCCGTAAACAGGTTACTTACTTAGGTTATCAGATTCACGAGGGAAAGCGCACCCTCTCACCGTCTTGGGTTCGTGCTATGCTGCAGATTTCCACTCCTGCCAACAAGCGGCAGGTGCGATAATTTTTAGGGGCTGTGGGATATTGCCGCCTTTGGATCATTCATTTTACAGAGCTGGCACAACCCTTATATGAGACTTTGGCTGGAACTACTCAAGACCCCCTTGAGTGGGGACCAAAACAAGACACTGCCTTTACTAACCTTAAAAATGCTCTGATTGAGGCGCCTGCCTTAGCATTGCCAGACTACAAAAGCCATTTACCCTGTTTGTAGATGAAAAGAGGGGCATTGCAAAGGGGTCCTCACCCAGAAATTAGGCCCTTGGGATCGGCCCATCACCTATTTGTCCAAGAGACTGGACCCCGTGGCTTCTGGATGGCCTGCATGCCTTCGAATGACTGCTGCTGTGGCCCTACTAGTACAGGATGGAAAAAAGTTAACTTTTGGACAGCTCATTAAAGTGGTCTCACCTCATGCATTAGAGACCTTATAAAAACACCTCCTGATAAGTGGGTGACCAATGCCCATATCATCTACTACCAAGCACTTCTGTTGGACCCTGCCTCAGTCCAATTTAAAGAAGCTACCACTCTAAGTCCAGCAACTCTTCTGCCAAATGATGACCCCACCCTGCCACTCTGCGACTACCTCTCCACCATCGAAAAAATCACGGGGCTTCAAGAAGACCTGACTAACATCCCCTTGCCTGATGCTGAACTGGTCCTCTTCACAGATGGAAGTAGTTGCATTCATGAAGGTAAGTGGGTGGCAGGGGTGGCTGTGGTCACTCAAGATCAAGACCATAATGGTCTCAACAATTGGCCTCTGGTACTTCTGCACAAAAGGCTGAATTGATAGCCCTAACCCAGGCATTACATCTGGGTCAAGACAAAAAGATTAATATCTATATGGACAGTAGATAAACATTTGCCACTATTCATGTACATGGGATGATTTATCAAGAAAGAGGTCTACTGACTTCTAATGGACAAAAGATTAAAAATGCAGCCTAAATTCTAGACCTACTGGCTGCCATTTGGCTTCCACTAAAGGTATCTGTTATGCATTGCAAGGCACATACCACAGGCTCAGACCCAGTAACTTAAGGAAATTGACTCCCAGATCAAACAGCCCAAGAGGCTGCCTTAAAATCAGTGGGGACGGAAGAAAACAAAACCCTACTCATCATGCCTCCCACCATCTTTGACCCTGTGTACACTTCAAGTGATCTTCACCTGGCAGCCCAGTTAAATGCTAAACCAAGAGACTCAGACAAGTGGTATCAGTTACCTGATGAAAGAATCCTTATACCAGAGGCTTTGGGCAGAGAACTAATCCAACAAGCCCATCAGGCTACCCATCTTGGGGGCTCGAAGCTAGCTAGCCTATTCCGTAATCAATTTTTCATCCCAAAGTTGACCAAACTGGCACATCTATCTAGTCTGCGCAGTGAACAATGCCTCAAGGTAAACCCAAAACACAACAAGCCGGTGAGTACCCTCCATTATCAGGGAACCACCCCAGGGGAACATTGGGAAATTGACTTTACAGAATTAAACAAGCCAGGACAAAGTGGATACAAGTACTTGCTTGTAATGGTGGATACTTTCACTGGATGGGTAGAAGCCTTCCCTACCCACTCAGAATCAGCTCTTATTGTAGTTAAAATGTTAATCCAAGAAGTTATTCCCAGATTTGGCCTATCCTTATCTATGGGGTCTGACAATGGTCCTGCTTTCATAGCCCAAGTTACTCAAAAACTTGCCCAAGCTCTCCACATTGATTGGAAGCTTCACAGTGCCTATAGGCCTCAGAGCTCAGGCCAAGTAGAAAGGATGAATCAGACTCTAAAGTCCACTTTGGCTAAACTCTCTTTGGAGACTGGTGAGAACTGGGTGAGTCTCCTTCCTTTTGCCCTTCTAAGGGCTAGATTTACCCCCTATGTCTCTGGAATTTCCCCTTTCGAGGCAATGTTTGGGAGGCCTCCTCCACTTTTGCCTTGCTTGACAGAAGAAAAGATTGCTGAGATTACTAACCAAGATCTCATTAAGTCCCTCCAGGCCCTCCAGCCAGTGCTTGCCTCCATCCACCGGATTTTTAGACAACGACACCCTGCTTCTGACCCTCCAGCTCCCGGACTCTGCCAACAAGCTGCGGAACCAGGAAGTCAAGTGCTACTCAAACGTCTGGATTCAAAAGGACTAGAGCCATGGTGGGAAGGGTCATACACCGTGATACTCAGCACCCCCACAGCAATTAAAGTTGCCGGGAAGTCTGCCTGGATTCAACATACCAACTTCAAGATATTACCCCCAGACGAATCCACTGACCATCCAGCTAAAGATAAGTGGACAATTATTAAGGGAGACAATCCCTTAAAGGTTAAATTGAAAAAAAATGTACATAATCTTTGTGCTAGTATTACTTTCTGCTTGCTTGTTACGCCCCGATGAAGCTATATCCCGACCCCATGTCCCTAATTATGGAACTTGGCAAATTACTGATTATGCAACTGGTAAGGTGCTTGCTAAAAGTGAAACTGTGCATGCAACCTTAACTATAGATCTATGTACCCTTTTAAATTCCCATACCATTCCCCTCCAAGACAGTGTCCTTGGTCCAGATGGGGTCCCCATCCTACACCCAGATACATCCGTTCCTAATTGTAAAAACCTACTAAGACAAAAAGCATTACAAAACATTGGATGGTATATTTGTCCTCAGGAACAAAAATCTCATACTGACTGTGGTACGTATAGTGAGACTGAGTATTTCTGCTATGCATGGGGTTGTGAAACTATTAGTCCATGGCATGGTTCTAATGCAGATGATTAGATAAAAATTATCAGAAAAACCTCAAAAACATGCTCCTTAAATCAATGTAACCTTATGACATTCACCTTTAAACATGACCCTCTTAAATACTATAAGGGAAAACACTATGGCATAAGATTATATGTGTCAGGGCAAGACCATGGAAATTCCTTTACTATTCAATTCATCCCTGGGAGCCGGCTTGCACCAGCCTGTCCTATTGGGCCATTAGCACCACCACAACCTCCAGCACTACCCCTCAGGACTTCTCCACCCTTAAGCTCTCAACCCGCTTCAACACCACAAACAACTTCTCCAATACCCTCAGACGCATACCCCGATGAGCCCTTTGCTCCCCTTGATATTAACTTTCAATACTTAAACAAAACTAACCCTAATATAACTGTCAGTTGCTGGCTTTGCCTCTCCCCTCATCCTCCTTTTTATACAGGGACTCCCTTTATCTTTCCCTTGTCTGAGGTTCAAAACACTTCTCTGGATGAGCTTACTTGCTGGTGGGGACAAAGACCTTTACTCACTTTAGGGGATGTTCTACCCATTCCTGGATCTTGTTTTCTGTTCAGCCAATTATAAACTCTCAGGCTCCATTTATGCTGGCTCTTGTCATACTAACCACACGACATATATCCAGAACATCACCTATCCACACAATCAACACCTTACAGCTCCAGAAGGAGTTGGTTTGCATGGTCTTCAGGCATTACCCCTTTTTTCTCACTCCAATGCTTCACCCGTGTACCTGAACTCTGTATCCTAGTACACATATTGCCCCAGGCCTATTGGTATTCAGGAGAAGAAGGATTTAGACATTTAGGACCAACTACTGGTATGTTGTCCCAATATACTAGAGCTACTCCTGTTCTAGTTCCACTCCTCCTTGGAATTGGAGTGGCCAGGTCTACTGCCATAGGGACAACAGGGTTAATATTAGGAGACTCAAATTTTAAATGGTTGTCAAAGCAGATAAATAAAGATTTAACACTACTTCAGAATGCAGTCACTGAACTAGAATAATCACTAAGCTCCTTAGCTGAGATGGTTTTACAACACAGGAGAGGTCTAAATCTCCTCTTCTTAAAAGAAGGAGGCCTATGCTTAGTATTAGGAGAAAAATGTTGCTTATATACCAATCACTCAGGGGTTATTAGACAAAGTATGTCTGACTTAAAACAGAGGCTGATAGATAGAGAACATCTTGGACAATCACAACAAAACTGGTTTCAATGATGGTTTAATTTTTCCCCATGGTTCACCACTCTAATGTCAGCTTTGGCTGGCCCTTTGGTCATTCTATTGGTTTTGATCACCATTGGACCTTGCATAATCAAGAGGATAATACAATACCTAAGCTCTCGCTTACAATCTATTAAAATAATGATGATACAAAACCAAGGCTGGGAACTTATTCCCAATAAAGAACAACCTAGTGAGTCAATGATTTGACTCATCCCCTTAAAATCAGTGGGGAATGTTGTACCCTGTCAAAATTGACTCCATTTTGTTGCCCTTCTAACCTTGCTGAGCTCCTGTTCTGTATGTGCTGACCCCTCCCAATTCCTCCAATTCCTCACCCCTGTGACTCAAGTCTTATGATATCTGTTCCCCAAACCTTATCTCAATGAACTCTATATGACTGGCAACTCAGCACCCCACTCAATAAGACCACCTAATGAACTAATGACCCTGCCACTTCTTCCTCTCCACCCCTTCCCTGTTTTTGCAGTTTTCAAGCTTAAATACTGCACCTTGTTAATGCTCGGCGTACCTCTTTGCACCTTGAGTAGAGACCACTGCTGGGTACCAGCTAAAATAAAGCGCTTCTTTTAACCTTTGGACTTGCTTCGTTGTCATCTGATTTTTGAGCTACAACACTCCCCTCTTCTCTATCCCTGTGGGGTTCACGTTCCTTTTGAGTTTCCACGTATAAGGGAAAGTGTGCAGTGCTTCTTTTCCTGAGTCGAGTTTAGCTCACTGAACACGACAGCCTGCAGTTCTACCAATTCTGTGAAGGACATGCTTTTCTTTACAGCAGAGAAATACTCCATTATGGATAGGTATAGCACTCTTGTGTCCATTCGCCGTGGATGGACACCAAGACCAGTTCCATAGCGTGGTTATTTCAAATTGTGCCTCAGTAAACATGGTCATGCAGCTGTCCTGAGAGCTTCCAAACTTTTAATTCTTTCAAGTAGGACTGCTGTAGTGGATCAGATGTAGTTCTATTGTTAGTCTTTCTAGTAGCATGCTTAATGACTTCCACAGTGATTATCCTGAAGTTCCAGCCAGCATTGTAGAAGGACTCTTTTTCCCTCCACAACCTTCCTAGCATTTACCTGTTTGCTTATTCTTGGTGACAGCCATTACCTAGGGTAAGATGCTATTTCAAGTTGTTTCACTAGTTTTTTTTTTCTTCTTTAATGTATGTGGTACAGGGTCTACAGGGTCTCACTATATAGATCGGACTTGTAGTGATCCTCCTATTTTCAGCCTCCCAAGGGCTGGAATTACAGGCACGTGCAGCCACACCCAGACTCATTCGCTGTCTCAGCGCGCCCCAGGCATGAGACCAGCACAGCACCCAGGGGATTGAACCTGATCCGTGAGTCTGCCTAAGCAGGCACTTTAGTCCACTGAGCTATTTGTCCAGACCTCATTATTGTTGTTTGAGAATCTTCCTGTGTTGCTTAGGCTGGGCTTGCACTCACTGGGTTTAGGCTGGGCATAGCCCAGGGCAGCATCAAACTTGTAGCAATTCTCCTGCCCCGGCCTCCAAGGTTCTGGGATTAGAGGCATGAAACATCATGCCTGGCTCAGAGTCATTTTGATTTTGACTTCCCAGATGGCTAAAGATGTTGAACCTTTTTTCATATACTTACTGGTCTCTTGCTTTTGAAAAATATCTGTTCAATTCATTTGCCCACTTATTTACTGGGCTATTTGATTTCTTGGTATTATGATTTTGAGTTCTTTCTACAATCCATACTTTTTAAATTAATTTTATTGAGAAACAAGTCGAAATGAGACAGTTTCAAAACCAATTATTAGGACAGTTTCAATAATTAATATGCTGCATATTGTTGTCTTCATGGTGGTTATTCATAGTACAAGAGGCAGACGTGATATCTTGTCCAAACACTATTAATACAAAACTTTCTTCTCATTGAATTAAAAGAGAGTATCTGTAGATCTATGCTAACTATTTTGTATATACAGATACAAAATGGACATTCATTTATATCCCCCTTTTTTGTTTAGTTTTATCAGAGATAGGTATTCCATTGCGATTTAAATATTGTAGGTGCATTAATTCAGCAAAATAATCCAATATAGTCCAGTAGTCCATAATAGTAGTGGATTTTCTATAGTACTGGCAATGTCAGAAGTTGTTGACTTGAGCCTTTTACAGCTCAGCATATTGATATGGCTTTATTTTTTATATTTGGTTTTTATACTTTTCTGCTGGGTGGTTAAGACCAAGATAAAGGAAGACCTATCTAACAAGAAATGTAACTTTTGTATCTGCCAAGATCAGTCAAATCCCCTCAGTATTTACCCAGGTTTAACCTGTACTGCAGTGTGTAGATCCTTTGTCCGTGTCATCGCCTGTCAGATGCAGAGCTGAGAAAGATTCTCTCCATTCCCTCACACTGTCTCTTCACTCTGCTGTTTTTCTTTTTCTTTTTCTTTTTCTTTTTCTTTTTTGCAGTGCAGAAACTTGATTGGATTTGTTGGTGCTTGTTGGAGCCCATCCAGGTCTTTGCAGTCTCTGCACCTTCAGGTTTTCCTCCTATGTCTTTTGCTAGCATTCAGAATTTTAGACCTTGTACCAAGGTCTTTGATCCATTTTGAACTGAATTCAATATAGGGTTGGAGGTAGGGATCTAATTCAAATTTTCTACCTAAGAATATCCATATTCGACATCACCTCTTTTACTAAAGAGGCTCTTTTCTCTCCATTGTGTATATTTGGCCACTGTGTACATGGTCAGATAGCTATATTTGTATGAGTTTACTCTGCTCTGTTCTGTTCTGTTTTTATTTAATTTTTTAATTAATTTTGTTGAGAAACAAATGGCAATGAGACAGCTTCAAAACAGGTTAACAGGACAGTTACAATAATTAATGCATTGCATATTGTTGTCTTTATAGTAGTTATTCATAGTACAAGATGCAGACATGTAGGGATTTAAAGTTTAACATATGAATACTTGATGGAAAATACCTGTTGCATGTTATGTCCAAGATGTTTGGTATTCAGACAGATGGTGAGGTTAAGCTCAACTACCTATGTTGTAGGGTAATAATATCACTAAGCTTCTCTTCTGGAGGGTTAACAACTTAAGTTTTCAGACCAAAAATTAGAGAAAAGGAAGGGCTACAAGGATAGCCAACACTTTGGCCCTAGTCATTCCAGGTCAGTGAGGACTCAGGACATAAGAGAACCTGTACTGTAACATCCTGTAACTCATGGTGTCCCAAATTTTCTGATCAAGGAGATTATAGGGCCATAGAAGAAAGTGATTGACAATGTATAATGCACCTAAGGAGAGTCACCTAGAGAGAAAACATTCTCTCAGGCTTTCACAGAGAGC